TATCAAAATGGCGCATTTGTGAACAAAAAAGTATCAAAGTATCAAATCTTAAAATTTATAAAAAAAGTATCAAAAATGATACAATTGTTTCAAAACGGTAACGCTGCTGCTAATACGGCCGCCAAATTCCGTAGTTACTGCGGTCGTCGCTGCTGTACTCACCAATTGTCGTCAATGCCTTTGCATTTTGTGTCGCTTGAATGATTTTGAAAATAGCGGAACGACTGGAGAGTAACGCACGCACGCTGAGTGGCGAGCTCACTCCGGACGTACATAAGTACTGGGGCATTCAATCATGGGATCCCGAATAATTTTCCATGTCCCGAAATTCCAGGATTACAGCTTCGGGATCCTGAGAATTTTACTAATTTATTTACAGAGCGAAAGTAATGTTGAAAACGAAAAAAATGAATTCGCGTGCATTTGACATGAAAATCGAGAAATACTGAACACCAAAATTTGGATTCAAAGTAAACTTGAGGCATTTGCAACCGGATGTGAATTACAGAACCCACCTGCATAGCTGTAGGTTGTTCAAGAACTGTGGAAAAATGAAAAATCTGGTAGCAATTGAAAGCACAAGAAACTTTTACAATGTGAGAGCGTTTTTTTTCATTTTACTTTGCTGCCGTGGTTTTTTGGAATTTGAATTTCTGCAAATATGAGTCATGGCCATTAACTTATCAATTTAAAATTATAGTTAAATCATTGGTTAAACCTTAAAAAAAAAACGAAATGCACTTCTTGCAGTACAACGATTTTCATAAAACTCTTGGATAACTTTTACGCGTTGTTCAACTGAGGATCGTTCCAAAGCTTGTAGTACCAATTCACACTTGAATCACCCCATACATATGGTGTGACAAAGCGAAGCCGTCAGCGGTACTGGGTTGGCGTTGCTCAACCCTTGGCTAAGGACCCAATTAGGGCTGGAAATATCAGTTTCATGCGTTTTCTCTTGAAAACTCTGGCGTTATCGGCTGCTACAGATCGTTGGTATTTCGCTGGTATCCCCGAAACTCGTAGAATCTACTTAACTTGGCATTCGAGCGTTTAGAGATCTCAGTAAGATTTTAAATAGATAGTCTAGATCTTCTCAAAAGCTCTTCTGCGTGATGCCTGCTTTTTCTCCGGTTGACCATTTAACAGTCGTGGCAATACACAAGAAAATCTTTGGGAGTTGCTACTGTATGTTTTCCGGCTCAATTCCGTTTTGCTCGGATTGGTACTTTGCGACGCCCACGAGTGTATTCCAAAACCGATATTCACTGCTCTACATCACCTGCATATGGGAGGACTACATTCATGCTTAGATATAATCTTCCGCCCTAAATTGGTCTACTGGCTTATTTGTAGGTTAATAAATGGCTCTCTTTTCAGGACGCTTTCCTTATCCAATTATTTTCACAAATCTTACATTCAACATAAATAAATTTTCATCTTACCTTCACAATATTTTCTAATCCACAACGATCTCATTTCTTCTCATTCTAGCCCACAAAAGACGATGCAAATGCAACAACTCCACTAGAAGACAGCTGGTGCTGGGAACCAGAAAACGTAAAATCTGACAATGATCACTCGTCCGAGTCATCGAGTAGCGGCAATGGCAACGAAATGGTCAACATCACTTTGGAGGAAGTGTCTCTGGGTGGCAGCGCGAAAACTTCCTCCGCGAAACGCACGCCACGCGCTGCCAATGCGCATAACGCAGCACTGGAAAAGCGTAATCAACAATTGGAGGAGGAAAATAAAGAGCTGAGTTTGGCGCTCGAAGAGTTGGACAGTCAACATAATCTGGCTATACAGAATGTGCTTGAACTCAAAACTGAGCTACAGAATAAACTCACCGCTGTCACCAACAATTATGAGGCACTAAAGAAGGAGCATGCCGACAAATTCATTAACAGTGAATTGGAAATGGCCCGAATGCAGAAGCGGCTGGAGAGTTTAGGAAAACAACAAGAAAATTTTGAATCGGAGAAGCAGTTCTTGCAGAAGCAAATCGAGAAGTATGAAGTCGAGATAAAGAAGTCCACTGCGGATTTGGGCGATTTGCAAGCACTGCTCGATAAGAAGACCCATGATAATGTGGAGCTCATTGAAAAGGTGAAGATAGCTGGGCGTTTAGCCGATGAAGCTGAGGAAGAAATGGCTGAGCTTCAACAACGTGTGGAACAATTAACGAAGGAGCTGGACGAGGCAAAACAAGGAAAAGAAAAAAAGACTTCCGAGTCTTCGACTAGTTCGACTGGCAAGCAGAGCGAGGACGAGTTTATTGTAGTGCGAGAAGGTGATGCTAACTCCTCAGGACCAGCCACGCCACCGTCGAAGGAGGAGCTGAAGGACAAAATCGTACAATTGGAGAATCGCCTTTCGGAGTTGACTTTGGAAAATGGCAGTCTTGCGCTGAAGTTGCAAGATTGTGAAATGGAGAGGGAGCTAGCGGCGACTGTACTACGTGAGAACATGCAAGAGCTACAAACACGCTGTGAAGAAACTGATGCGGCATTAACGGCGGCTAAGGAACAATTAGAAGAACAACAGGAGAAGCTGGAAGGTCTGAAAGAAAAGGCAGCTGAAGCTGTCATTGCACAGCAACAGTTGAAAACACTGGCTGAAGAGAAAGTAAAAATCGAGACGGAGATTGCTAACATGAAAGAGAGTTTACAGACCGCAATGGAGCTTGAGAAACGTTTATTGTTGTCTGAGAGTGAAAAGGAGACGCTGCAGATTGAGTTACAGCGCCTACGCGCCGCACAAGAACGCATCACTGAGCTTGAAGGGAAAGTGCAAAACTTGATGGTGGAAAATCAACAGCTGCGCCTGAATGCCGAAGCTGAAACAGAATCTCACAACTACAGCGCAGAGTTAGCGGAGCGCCTCAAGTCGTTGAACGAAGAGAACGAAAGCCTTCGTGCAGAGGTACTTACCATGGCACAAGCAAAATTCCGAGAAGCTATTGCTGAGGAGAAACAAGAAATCACAGATCTGGATGCCGACGACGATGAGCCGTTGACCGTGGACAAAATACGCGAATTGCTCAGCTCTCACATAAAGTCGAAGCTGACCAGCGAAATGGAGGAAGCCTGTCGGGCAGTGCAAGAACGCGTCACCAGAACCGTCAACGCCATGGAGCAGAATATATCACGAATGTCCGAGGAAATACTCGATCTGCAGGACAGCAAAATGGTCTGGGACCATGAGAAGAAGACGCTCGAGGCAGACATATCTCAGTATATTCTGCAGTGTGACGAACTGATGAAGAACAACGAGATATTGCTGAACGAGTTGGAGAACTATAAACGCAACAAGCTCGAGACGATTCACGAGCACAACGAGGAAAGTGTTATGCAGCTGGAAGCGCAGCTGGAGGAGTCAAGTAAGTTGAACCAGTCGCTGGAGCAAGAATACGATGAACTCAATAAGAAGAACGAGGATCTGGAGCGAGAAAAACAGGCGTTGACCGAAGACCTACGCGCCACCCAACAGCGTGTCAGCGAGCTGCAAACTTCTGAGAAGGACCTCAAGCTACAGCTCGAAACCTTGGAGTTGGAGAAAGGAAATTTGTTGTTTGAGTTAAATGAACAAAAGGCCATGGATTGCAAGCTAGTTGAAGATGATGCAGCTATAAAGAGCGCCGAAGAAAAGTGTCAAAACCTAGAAAGCCAATTGTCACGGCTGAGCAAGGATCATGCGGATTTGGTGGCCGCCATGCAGACGCAAAAGGCAGCGCTTCAGGATGCGATAAAGAAACGAGAGGAAGCGGAGAAAATGCTATTGGAACAGGAATTGCTGGTGAAACGCATGGACCACGAGTTGAAGCAACTGAAAGAGCAGAGCAAACACAGTTGTGAGGTACAAAAGCGGGTCGACGAGCAGGCTGCACTCAACCAGCAGATGCAGCAAGATCTCTTGGCTAAAGACATAGTAATGGAGAATCAGAAGGAAGAGATACAAGAGGCGAGAAGCAGTTTAGATCGGCTAATAAAAGAATTTAATGAATCTGAGAAGTTGATAGAAGAAAAGGAGAGTACCATGAATGACTTGCGTAATCGTTTGGCAGAGAGCATGCAAGAAAATGACGAGCTGCAAGAGAAGTTACAACAACAAACGGCGAACACCGAGCAATTGACGCAGCTGAAACAGGAAAAAGAGGCATTGGTAGCGGAATTCGAGGAGTTAAAAAAGGAATACGAAGCACACAGCGTCGAGTTGAAGGCGTTGCAGGAATCAGCGGTGACATCTACCAGCAGCGATGCAACGGCAATTACACGCATTGCGCAGCTGGAAGCCGAACTCTTGGCCACAGCCGATCTACAAAAGACCGTGGATATATTGAACTACGAGAAGAGCGAAATGATAAAGGCGCTGCAACAGAAACATGCTGAGAATATGCAATACTACACAGAAATTCAACGACTACTGCCACTCGTGCAGCAACTGCAACACCAGCAACAACAAATGGCGCTAGAGAAACCATGCGATAAATGCCCGACACTGGAGAACACACTGAGTGAACTACGCAAAGAGGCGGAGAAACAGCAAGATCAAATAAAATTCCTGAAAGAAAAGTCAGATATTCTTACGACTAATTTGCTTACGGAACAGACCAATCAGCGTCTGGTGAAGCAGGAGAAGGCTGAAGTTGAAGAGCAGAATGCGGCTATACGCAAGGACTTGGAACGTTTGCGTGAACATTTGCTGGAAATTGAAGACATGCACACACACGAGACGGTGGAAATGCAGCGGGAGTTGGAAGAGACCAAAGCAAAAATGGTAGCACTGCAGGACGATGTGGCGAAATCAAGCAATGCCTACACATCGGCCAAGTAAGTGTGAAAAAAAAGTAATTCAGTTCGAAGCTGAGCGTTAAGTTGAGCGTGCTACTTAATTGTTGTAGTAGAGTTAGGATGCGTTAGGCATAGAAAACATGTTGCTTGTCGCGGTTACTTTGAAAGAGAAGACAGACTAGGAAAGGCATCTCATGTATCCCCCATTGTTTCTTTTAAAAATTCTTTAAAAACAAAGGGTTAGATAGAAAACTGTCTTTGGAATTGGGACCCACGATTTTGAAGAAAGAGTTGAAAGAGTACCTTCAGTAAGAAACTTGTCATTACTTAAACACAAATTCAGATTCCCAAAATAATGCAGCGTTTTCCATCCAAAAGCCAGCCGCCATAAAAGAAACAGCGGATTGTATGCTTACGAACGTGGGCCGGTCGGCAATTTAGGCCCTTCCATCTTGATGATATGCTCAAGAAGTGTCGGAGAGTATGGGCGCTCCATTTACCACATTTGATCTGATGGTCGTCTCGTCAGTTCAGCGAGCGCTGACGGAATTCTGGAAATGCAAAGTGGTTAAAGGCGCAGCTATGCAAACTTAACTTGAACCTGAAAACCTGTAGTCAACCGCCGAATGAGAGTTAACTCGTCTCTGTAAAAACGTCCCTAAGTGCTGATTTTTTAATGATCTGAGATTAGATCAGTGAAGCTTCTTAGTGGTTTTGACGAGTAGCACTTTGCCGCAGGGTATCTATAAAAGCATGACATCATTCTTTTCAGGGCGAGAATTACTGAAGGTTTCTTTGTTTTTTTGTTCAGTCAAATAGACTTCTTTATAAAATTTTTGCTGATAAGAACGCGAGTAGAGGGGCAAATGAGTAGAAGTAAGATTAGAGAACATACCTTTCTCGAGCACTGTCACTTCTTCCGACGTATCGATACTGGCAAGTTTTGTGTTACACACATACATATGTATGTAATTCCCCAGTCACATTTATGTACATTGATAATTGCACATAAATACATACAAAAAATAGGTACACAAGCACCATTCTGCTACACCTGCAGCGTTGCTTGTGGGTACAGTAAGCAAAAAAAAAATAGTAACCGCCTTGAGAGTATAAAGTAAAATTATCACCTAATTACCGAGCAAACAGTATGTTCAGCGCGCACCAAGCACAGCGGCGGTGTCGAAGAGGAGTGGTGGGTATCCGCCCAAGACTGGGACAAAGCCAGAGCGGCAAGCAACACACTCACAACCTTACCTCTGTATATGTTGGCGGTAGCATGAAATTACCTGCGTTTCGTCATCGTACATTTGCTGTTCACTGTTCACTGTTCACTGTTTGCGTTTACGTTTTTCTTCAGTTTACGCTTTTCTCAACGCCCCATTATTGTAGCGGTGCGCACGGCAACAAGGCAGCCGTAATGGCATCAGCAGTCGCGGCCGCAGTAATATGTATATATGTATGTGTAGTTACTGTTATCGCTTTTAAGCCTTTCGTTAAGCTTCGTCACGACTCACGGCAATTGGTTTGCCAAGCGATAACGTGTCACAAAGCGCTGAAAATTAGTTGAACTAGCGATAGCGCGGCGTCGTGTCAGGGTGCCGCGGGTGGGGACCAAGTGACATTTTAGTGCTATCGGCACCGCTGCGCTATTGCTACCTGCAACCAGTGCGCACTTGCAATGCCACAGCAAAATTAGAACATTCGCGCATTGCAGACGCGTTAGGGCAGGCGGTGCGCGCCGCTTGCTGGGTAGCTGGGTAGCCAGGGCGCTGATACGCTCCAAAAGCGATTCATTAGTTTCGTGCTGACTATAAAACTAATTGAATTTCTGCACCTACAGAAATCATAATTTCCAAGAAAATAAATTTAGTAAGTGACATTCTTCGATTTTTCACAGTATACGCGCCAATCAGCATGCCGAGACATTGCAAGCGCAGTATGCGCTCGTGGTGCAGCAGCGCGACGAGTTAGTCAAAAAGCTGAGCTTGGCCGAGGATCGGGAATCGAAGAATCAGGCGGCTTTGTGCAATCTGCAGTGTGCGCTCGAGCAGTTTCAAAATGGTGAGTTGGCGAACCGAAACAAAAAAAAAATGTTTAAACGAAAATAAATGAAGAACCTTTGCAAAGAAAGCTAAAAATAAATTAAAAATATATGTATGATTTTTTTCCTCACATTAGACAAACAAAATGACATTAAAGCCGCCACGCATGGCATACGCAAGGAGTTGCAGCAGGAGCAGGAGAAGCAGGCGCAATTGCAGGCGGAGATTGGCGTTTTACAGCAGCAGCTGGCCGAGGCGAAGCAAGGTTTGTGTGCGGCAGCACGGCTCTCCGATCAGTTGGAGGCGTGTCAGCGTACGATTGCGGAGCTGCGGGAAGAAGGTGAATATGCATTTAAATTTGCTTGGTATTTTTTTTTTTAATAAACAGTTTGAAAAAAAAAAATATTGAAAATGGGAGAAATGTTGTTTACTAACACTATGGTTATTCTGCAAGAGTTCATAACATGCAAGAGAGGTTGCTCACAAATTTCTGTTACTAACCCACCATTCAACCACAATGAAACACCTCAGCCATAAGGGAAATCTTCAATAACCGCACGTATGTAAACTGGCATTTGGCATTTTAACGATCCGAGTACAAAATTTGCTAATAATAATAACTGCAAAAAAATGTTTACAAACAAACGAAACATTGTAAAAAAGAATTGCTTAATCACTAATATGTTGCAATGTTTCCCTTAAGCCACGCTGATTTCGATTCCTAAAGGTAAATATCAGCTGGTAATTCTGGGATTTTCATAATTTTCAAACACTCGGAATTTCAGTTGGTATACACTTTTTCGAATTCTATGTAGACACCGCAATGCAAGAAAAACTAAACAAAAAACAGCAAAATAAAAGTAAAATTTTTACAATAATCATGAAGAACTACCTACATGTAAGCGTATCTGCACTGGCATCACCACAACCACTACATTACAAAAAAAAAATCACTATTTCAGCAAACAAAAAAAAAAAAACACAAACAGTATCATTGCTCACAGCCACATCGCCACCTTCGCAAATCAAATTAATTATGCATAGCTGCCCATTCATCGCCCAAAATTTCATTAACGCACACACAAAAGGTGAAATGCACGAATTGGCGCGGTCTTAAAAAACATACATTCCCAGGATTGCTTTGGATTCACTTGGTTAAAAAATTTGCGCCAATCCTCTAGGTCAATGTTGGCCCCTTCATAGGCATGCGTGCCAAAGCTTTCTGTACAATTTGCATCCGGCTGGCACAAAATAAAAGCTTTCGCTGGCCAACTCTGATTATTGTATTATTCTAACATTTAGTATAAACCAATATATGCGTATAGTATATATACTTTTTAACTTTTTTAATTATTACTTTTTAACTTTTTTAATTATTATTTTCTAATTAATTTTACATACATACATTCATCTACATATAAATGAGTTGGAAACTGTAAGAAAATTAACAAATATTTGCTATTTATTTTAATGGTTTTTAGTAACTTTTTGCCACTTCAAGTGAATATAAGAAAATACACAAAGTTTTATAGCCTTATTCATAGAAAATAAAGTATATTTCCAAAGCTTTACAAAATGACATTTTCATACAAAATTTCGATTTATAAAGCACTTAAAGACTTCTTTATTTTTTATGAATTTGAGTGTTAGCCTTTATTGTAGTGCTTTCTAGAACTCAAAATAATTGTTTAACTTTTCATTTTAATTTTAATTTCATTTTATAACTTTCGGTGGTGAAAATTGAAAACTGCCTAAATCTGATTTTGCCGCCGCGCATATATGTATAAGGTCAAAAAATACATTTAAGAAAATTTCGATTTATTTTACTAAAAACAAGCAGCAGCAGATCGCTTGAGAGTTTTGGTTTTAATTGTTTTCATAACTTTTTATCAGTTTGCTATGTCGCTGTCAAGTATAGAAAATAAACTAAATAAACTACTACTTTTAAAAACATCCCTGTTCATTTTTTACCGCGAACTTAATGTAACGTAAGCGAAGAAACCTATTTTTTTTGTATTCAAAACAATTTCTATCGTTATTTTCTACAGGTTATGAAGCTTCAGTTGATAATTGCTCTAACACATCAGATTTTTTTTTTTGTATTTAAATACCATAACCTAAAAGGGCGACAGACAAAAAGTGAGATTAATGCTTGCATTTAATTCTCTGAGTATTTTTTAGTTTCAAATATGCCGGGCGGCGGTTAGTTCCTATCAGTTAGACGATATAGCTTTTTTTTTTCAAACATATATTTGTCTGGAGCTTCGTCGTCGTTGCATTCAGTGCACTGTTTAGTAATTAACATTTTTACTTTAACACTTCATTATTTTTTATGGACATCTTTTTTGTGTGTATTACATATTATCTTACACATTAGTGCACCTAATATTCTTCTATAGCTGTTGATTTTTACTATTCAATTTGAATATTTTTTTTTTTTGGTTTTATGTATTCTTCACAATTTTGCCTATCTGGTATATTTTCTTAGTCTTAAACTGATTGTTTTTAGTTTAGTTAGCCTATCGCTTCTGCTCTTTTACGCATTTCAGTTTAGCATAGTTTAGTTAGTTTTAATTTATTATTTAATATTATCTCTTCTGCGAATTTCGAATTATATGTAATTATAATTTATTTTTTCTTGCGTCCCACGTGTCCAATGCAAAATTGGGAAATCTCAATTTGTAACTGTGAGCGAAATCGATATGCTGAACTCACGTTGCATCTGGAGATTGCCTGATGTTGCATCCGTTTCTACATTCTTGTTTTTGTTCTACTTGTTGTTTGCTATTGTTGTTTATATATATTGATTAGTTTAAATTTGATTTGAATTTGAATTTGAATTTGGTTTGAATTTGAATTTCGTTTTTCTTTTGTTGAATTTGATCTGCTCTTTTCCAAAATTTATTTGCATCTATTGCCTGCATCTACATATTTCAACACATTATTCAAATAGTAAAAATATAAATACAAAATTGTAAAATACATACATATGTACGTACAGTCTAAACTTCCACTTGCTTGTGTAAGCAAAATAATTTTTCATTTATTAACAAAAAAAAAAAAACAAACAGTTTGATAGCCTCGCAATTCCTTTAATTGTAAGAAATATTTGCTCCGCTCTCATCGAATGAATGCTCCTAAACCGGCCTCCTAAACCGGCTATAACTGCGTGCGTCTGGTTGAGTATTACATCAGGTACTGGTGTGCAATTGCCTTATCATTCTACCAGTACTTATGTCATACTGTCCCGGACGCCACGCCCAAATCTGCATGCCCCATAACAACGATGGATAAAAAAGAAATACTAAACCAGTGTTGAATGCCTGCAAGGAAAAGTGTTCGAAAAATTAACTCACTAAATGCTAAATTTATAATTGAATTTAATGAACGGCGTTGAATATTTTTTAAATATTTTTAGGTTCTAGTTTTTCTTTATTTTCCTTTCGCAAATTTTACCCGTTTTCCAACACTGCAATTAACACCATTTACCTATGCACATATTTCCCCTCTAGTTGATGCATTGAAGCAGCAGAACGAGCAATGCTCCAACAAACTTAAGGCTAGCGAGTCTAGTCAATCGGACAAAATCGAGAAGAGTCTCATCAAGAGTCTGTTGATTGGCTATGTGGTGAGCAGTAATCCGAATGACAAGAATCAAGTGCTGCGCATGATTTCCTCCGTGTTGGACTTCACGCAAAACGAATCGGAAAAAGTGGGCCTCAACAAGCAGCAGTCGAGTTGGCTTGGCGCCATATTGGGTGGTGGCAGCCCGTCAGCGCAGGGTACGATCATCATCAGCAACTAGCTTACCACCACTAATGAATATACTCTATACTTTAACTATTTCCTTTCTTTTATTTCTGCTTTCAGGTGTACACTCCAAGGACAATTTGGTGCAGGCTTTCGTACAATTTCTGGAACAGGAGTCACAGCCCAAATCGGATGCCAGTACCATGCCCAACTTGCTAAATATGACACAACAGAGCAGTAGTCCGCCAGCGCGTCGCATATCCACATCCAGCAATAGCAGTTCATCGGCGGCGGGGATGACGACGGGTAACTCCCCGGCCCCGGCTCTACCCATTCAACCAATGATGCTGAATGAGTTTGCACCGACGCGCAATTCCAGCTCAATATTAAAAGATATCCTAAGCGATTCTTGATTATTGTAAACTTTAAGCTTTTTGTATCCCATGCTGTAGTTACCTTTATTCTACTTTATTTTACTTTATCTGCATGTTAGGCTTGCATGCAACTGATATTTTTTTGTTCTTAGAAATATGCAGTAGGTATGTTTGTATATGTATTATTTACTTGATATTTTGTTGAATCAAAGTGTTTAATTGTAGTCGTCGTCTAGCAATTTCTGCCTGTTCTGGCCGCGTTCGAATTCAGTTGAAATCAGTCGTTTCTAGAGTTATTTTTCTATTTGATTATTCTGTTTTACCTGTAAATATATATAAGTGTATTTGTAATAAAAATGTAGTTGCATTTTGAAATGCGCGTCTAAGCAACTTCTACTATGTATTGTGTTAGGAAGGGCCTGCCAACGGAATGAGCCATTACGAAAAACTGCAATTGAACAGAACTTTTATGTTTGTGCATTGTATAAAAATGTATTTGAAATAAATATAAACAATATACATACACATTATACATTATTGAATATATATAAGCACAATTTAAGATTAATAAATCAAATGATATTTTAACAAAATCTTAAGCAGTGTTGTCGTTTTTTGGGCTTGTCCTGCCGAAATTGGTTGGCATCATCTTGTATCATGTTGTGGTTGTAGTATTTTTCGTCATGGCAATGGAAAAGGTTTTTTCTTAACAGCGGTCGTCCCTCGGCAGGCAATGGCAAACCTCCGAGTGTATTTCTGCCATGAAAAACAGCTTCTCATAAAAATACAATCGCCGTTCGGAGTCGGCATAAAACTGTAGGTCCCTCCGCTTTGTGTGACAACATCAAGGCGCACGCCACAAGTCGGAGGAGAAGCTCGGCCAAACACTAACATTTGTGTAAGCGCCAATCTATTATTATTATTAATGGACGACAGCTGTGGCTGAGTGGTTCGATACTTGGTCCGGGCAAATCTAAATTAGAAAAAAGTTTCTCTAAGACCGGCCGCCCCTCGGCAGGCAATGGCAAACCGCCAGGTATATTTGCCGTTCGGAGGCGGCGCACACCTCAATTTGGAAGAGAAGCTCGGCCAAATACTTAGCTAAAAAGAAAGCTCCAAATATTATTATTATATCAATGGGCTTACATAGAAAGTAAATGTGACCTTTGATCCCGTTTCTTCAATAAATCTGTATTTTTCTGTATCCTATCTTCCAGAGGAAACTATAGTTTTCTTTATATGTTGTGCCTGTTAAATCACCTAAGGTGTTCAGACAGACGTTAGAAATCGGAACAAGGTAATTATAGCTTATTTTGAAATTTTTTCAGATACATCTTTGCATATTGATGTAGTTATGTGTAATGTATGTACTATTTCGGATTTCGGAGTAGCTCATTCAGTGTTCGAAATACTGAATACGGAGGAAAGATCAGGGTGATTACTCTGTAATGCGATGCGAAAACAAGTGATTCGCATTCGCGCCGACACATCGTCAGTAATACACAGGGTTGATTGCCTATCGCATCGCATTACAGAGTAGCACCCCTGAAATATTTTAGCAAAATATCGCACTCACGCTTATGCTCATAAAACCGAAGTGTTTTTTTACTTTTGTAGCATTCAAGGTATAAGGCGAGAATTAGTTCAGCTCAATAAAAAAATTCCAAACAACCTCACTCTGTAACTGTCAAAATGTGCAAATATGTACAAACATACAAATCGTGTGATCCCTGCTTTAGGTGTGATTTTTTTACATACAGCGTAAACAAACGGCAATGTTAATCAGTCAGCGATTTCGTAGATTAAGCGAGCCACGAGGTTGTGGATTCGAATCCCATGTCCAGCCAAATTTGTTTAAAGTTTGTTTAGCTCCTTGAATAACTACTTTTGTTTATTTAATGTAATTATAGTTTTTTGGTCTTTTTTATAAAATTTATTTGAACAAATTAAATTAAGGAAGGGGATGGGACGCACCTATGCCAGTGGTGCACAGCGTCGACTGAGCTACCAATTCCAGCGCAACATTTTTGTCTTAGTATGTGTACACTAGCGAATTCGCAAACTATTTCGCTGCTAACGTCGCAACAGTTCGTTAGCTGCGCACACACGACCTGTATGTGAAAGCCAAGTAGCTCCCGGAGACTCACTGACTTATACGCATGTATTCAAGTTTGCAAACGGCTGGCCAGCTTTTTCCAAATTTTTTTGAATCCCCCTCTTCCTATGGTGAATAAGGGTCATCATCTTTGAAGCGCACTCACCCATCATTTGTTCGGCAATTTAAAAGATTGGCAATCAAGTGATACATATATGACAGCATGAACTGCGACTAAGTCGAGACTCACCAGTGCCTCGGTGAAAATGTTATTTGAAAAATCCCGATATATCTTTGAAAAGCCTTGTCTGTTGAATTAACCTTCGTTGAGGCTTGTTGACTGATATTTGGCTCTGTAGATTTCTCGCTTTACCATACATGTATCCAGGGCTTATATTCAATACGACCTATCTGCAGTTTTTACACAAATGGGGTTCCTATATAAAAATCTATCTTAGACTTAACTATCATCGATGATGTTAATGCCAACATTGTATATGGATGGTCAGAAGAATTAACTATTCAATTTCAAAATTAAAATTTAAACCAGTGATGACAGTTAGATAAGTCTCAGAAGGATTTTAACATCAGAAAGTAGTTTTTGTATAAACTGCTCGATATTGTTGTGCATATGGGTCTAAAACGTTAAGACCAGTCACGATAAAAAATATTCAGCGGGGGAAGCTCTTTAAGGCTTTCGATAGATCTTATATGTATAAACGCATAAAGGGTAAAAACTTGCACTAATCATCACTGTTTAGGCCAATCGTTAACCATTTACTTACCATTATTGTATGACTGGAAAATATATATTTTTTCTTAATGAAATGAAAACTCTTATTTGACATTTAGACACAAAATTTAAATTTTTATGTATTTCATTTCTATTTTTCGTGTATCTTTTATCATTTTCGTTAATTTAGTTTCATTTTTTCGCTAACAGTTTTGCTTACAAATATGTAAATACATACATAAAGGGGAGGTACTTACTTATAACAAAAAAACAAAAAAAAAAAAAAAAAAAAAATTTAATAAAAAAAATTCAGCAATTAGGAAAAGCTTAACTCTATACTTATGTATTTATGTACAAAAAGTTTTTTACAATATTTAAAGTTAAATTATTTACGTATTGTTTATGGAAAGAGTTTTGGGCAATCGCAAGGGCATTAAATTATGACAAGAGAAGTATAGTTAACAGTAATAAATAACTTATAAACAGCTGTATTTGTGTGAATATGAATGTATCTACATAAAGAAGTGTCTACTATACATACATACACCCTTAATTAACTGCAATAATTTGGCTTCAACGCTAGTGCCTTCAAAGGCAACAAAAATATATATATATCGTGTTAAATATAAATATATGTATATATTTATGTATGTGTGCACAACGTACATTCGAGCCCTAACCGCCAAAATAACGTAAGCGAAATTTTTTCAAAATTTTCTTTTTGATGCAGAAATACATCTAGATGAAATTAAAAAAAAATATCACTTCCGTTATTTTAGCGATTAAGGCTCGATATAAAAGTATTTTTCACTCGATATTAAAACATTTTTGGAGTCATATGCTTGTATTAAATATTAAATATAACGTAATTATCAATGGCTTTTTTTTCATAATTTAATTTCATAGGCAAATTTTGGAGTAACGATAAAAATAGTTTTCTCAACTTTTCGTCAAATTCAACATTCTTTATGATACATATCTCTTATTCGTCAATCAACATTTTATATAAATTGTTTTCTTTGTGGTGTTTTGTATATATACACACATATATATATACACACAGGAAACTAACAGCAACTATACATACATATATTCAGCTATATTGATTACATCATATACATACATACATACTTATATATGTAAGTAAATAAGGAAAATGTTAATCTTTTCATTGCGCAAAATTTTTAGAGTTTTCCCATAAAAACTAATTGAAAACTTAACTGTTATTTAACGCTACATAAACACATACATATGTATGTATGAGTTAATTTTTGTGAATAAGTATATATACGAATATCTACAATCTTTATTTGCTTTGGGCAAAGTTCATTTCATTCGCTGCTCTGCAACTTATTTTCTTCTAAATAAATTTTTCTTTAATTATAAAAATATACATACATACACTAATGTTAGCTAAAAAGAATTTCCACATTTTTGTTTTACTAAGTACTACATACATACATACATAGATATAAATATTTAAATATCTCCTAATTGCATTAGTAAATATCATTGTGAAATACTAGACTGTTTTGCTATTAGATATTTTATAAAATTTATAGCACTTAAATTATATTTAGTTAAGAAATGTACAAAAAATGATTTTTATTTTCGCTGATCGTACAAATATAAAAAATTCTTTTTGGCTTTTAGTAAAAAAAAAAAAAGTTTTCATGAAAGCATATTTTTGTTCTGTCTCAGTTTGTGGCATAGATTGGCTAGTAGTGGTGCTTCGTTGGAAGAATTATGGGTACTTCTTTCAGATAAAGATATATGTGTATGTATACATATGTATTTTTAAGTTTCTTGACGGTTTTTTTTTTTAGCTAATGTTGTATATAAAATTTTACTGGTATTATTATAGGCGGATTTTCTACTTGAAACTGTATGGTTAAAAGAAAAAATTAATGTTAAAAAGAGTTCAAACATAATATTAATATCTAGTTCTGCGCGGGCTCAGCTACAAATTTTGAAGTTTATCATGGACACAATATTCAAAAAAACAAAATAAAAATTAATTCGAGCATAGAGAATTTTGGCTCTTAAAATAATTCAGTTCATTTCACCCACTTAAAATTTGGTAGTTAATTATTTTCCAGCGTTTCTCATTCTTAGGCAAAAATATTGAGGTTGTTCATACCGGCCTGGTTATCAGGTTATGTGGTTATATTTTTTATTCAGCTTAAAACAATAAAATACACTAAATAATAACCTGATAATCAAGCAAGTGTGAACAACCTCATTATTTTTAGAATCAAATCATATTTTTAATGCTTCCTTTAGATTAAAATTCCGGGCATTTTTCAATACATTAAATTTTTTTTCAATCTCTAAAATCTATGCAATTGCATTGTTGTTCGATTTTTGTATTAAGTGTTTCGCTAAGACACCGAAAGCCACATAGATACATACATACATACGTTGGACGAGAAACATACATACACACTAAAGTTACACATCTCCATCTACATTTAGTTGGATGCTATGATTTTGTTCACTGTATGTACAGTGGCGGTCAAAATTAGATGAATGGTGTTTCGTTTTTAATATTTACAATGTTTTCCAAGATACATTTTTTTAAATATATTTTTTTTTTTAATAAAAAATATGGTCCATTCTTTAACAAAAACCATATAAATCACACCTTAAAATTTTATATAGAATTTAGAAAAATTCCAAAATTTTGTAACTAAATTTCGAGTATTTTAACCAAAA